AGTGATTAATCTAATTGGGTAGATTAATTTAGTTTAATAATTAATTTAGGATTTTATTTTTAATTTGAAAATAAAGGATTTGAAATTGAAAAAGAAAAAGAATAGAAATAAAAGAAAAATCCGATTTTTGGGCTGTTACAATTGAGTTTGTCCCAGCCCCAAGTGTTAAACACCCATTACCCGTTCAAATTTCCCCACACCCGGCCCAGTCTAGTAAAACACTGGATTCGGTTTCCCCCTCCACCGAAACGACTCCGTCCCACTTAAAATGAATCTGGACCGTCGAGGTTTTTCTCATCCAACGGCTTGGAAGTAAGGTCGTTGGAGTATATATATGTCCAAACATCCCCCTACCCCCGTCTCGTCTCTCCTCTCACCCTCTCCAACAAGACCTGAACCCTAGCAGCCGCCCTTGAACGCCCACCGCCTGAAGGTGGAGGCGCCACCACCAACCACCATGAAATTAACACTCCATAATCTCCTCCACCTCCACATCCCAAATCCCCAAACAACTCCTCTTAAATCCTTCCAGAACTCCTCGAATTTCAGATCAAAGATCGAAACCCTAGCGCCGCCCTTGTTTTCTCTGGTGGCGGCGCCACCTCTGTTCAACCCCAAACTAACACCGGAGAACCTCCAGTGCTCCCTCACTCCAAATCCCCATGTGTTTTTCTTCGAATCACCCTATCTTTTGTCGAATCTTGAATAGGAGTTTGAAGTTTTAAAAGCCCAAAATCAGAATTTCTTGAATCTGTGGCATGCATGACCTTAGGCTCCCGAATTTTCGAGTTTTCAAGGGTTAATTTAACATAAAGCAGTGTTGGTCATTTTTTCTTGGCAAAGAACAAGTGATTAACACTGGTTGTGTTAAATCGAGATATCCAGTGTTAGTTTCAAGTTTAGTTGGTAAGTTTTCTTTATTTTTCTGTCCACTTTTGTTATTTCACCTCCTATTCCTCTTCTTTTCTTCTACTTTTCTTTAAATAGACTGGAAGTTGGTCAAGGTTTGAACCTAGATTTTCCCTTCTCGATTGGTTCATGCTCGTATTTGTTCTGTTTGCTTTCTCAGTTTTTCCTTTCAAATTTTTGAATGATGTTTTCTGATTTTTGTTTAGATTATTCACTCGCCATGCTTAGTTGTTATTTATGACATTTAAGTTTTCTGATTTTTCTAGTCGTATAATTAGTTTAATCAGATGTTGTTATTTCTAACTCATTGTTTAGTTTAAAAGGAAATCAATCATTTAGTTTAGATTTTGGTTTTGAAATCATTTAATCGGTTTCTTCTGCTTCTAGTGAATTACCAAATGGATTTCTGATTGGTTTTGGGCCTTGGGGTCATTTCTGACCCATTTTTAAAGAAAGCCCGTTCGTCGTGATTTGAGTCTTGGGTCAGACTTGACCCATGTGGTATGCTGAAGTAATTGGAAGGAATTTAAAGGGTACTTTAGGATTTTAGTTAAGGGAAATCTTGTTGAAACTGCCTGAGAAGCTTCCCAGAAGCTGCATGATATACTTACTTGACCAACAAGTCAGTAAATGAAGGACTAAGCAGCAAAAAGGAAAATTGGAAAAGAACTAAAATAAAAAAACTAAACCCTTAAGGCTGCCCTAGTAACTTGCCTATAAAGGCATAGTTACTTGGGGTTCCATAGAGATTTTTTTTTTAGATTTCGAGGGGGAAAAATTCTGAAAACTACTAAACGGCTGAAACTTTTTGCAGAAAACAATGTTTCATTGGGCTTTAGTTTTGAAATCTGAAATCCTCTTCTTTCTGAATCGATTTCTTGATCATTTGAACTTAGAAATGGTTTGAGACTTAGTCATTGAGGTTGGTTTAGAGGTCTGTTGGTTAGACTGTGCATTTGAAACTGATTTCTGGGCTGCAGTACTTCATTTTTTGGGTTTGAAATTGCTTTGCGGGTTTGCTCTTTGTTACTGGACTTGCTGCTGATTCCCTGCTGTTTCTTGCTGATTCTTCAGCCTTTTCTTTTGTCTTTTGTTCATCACCAGGTATTTCCTCAAACCATTGTCAACAAGTGATTAAGAACATGTATTCCGAATCGAGGCCTGATTGAATGCAAACTGTTTTGGATTTCACTACATTCATTTCCTCTATTTCGTTAATGCTATGTAATAGGTCCTAAACCACACATGTTGTCTCAGCTATCTCATACCTTTAATGTGCTATACAAGTGAATATGTGCTCTTAAGAGTTTTGGGTGTTAATTAATTCTCTAGATTTTGTTACTTTTGGTATTGAAAAGTTAGTTAGCTTAAAATCTTGTGTTATGTTTGTAAGTTTAGTTAAGTGTGAATATTCGTTAATCTAAAGTCAAGCATGTATCCTCGGTAGTAATTCAAGTTTTCTTGATGTATTAGTTGTTGGGTAGTGATGAGATTCATCAACTTGTGTTAAGTGCATAGGTTTGTCTTGCTTTAGCATAGACTCGATCTTGAGTCTGAAACCATCAGTTTTGTTCGCTGCAGTGTTGGGCTTCTCGAGCCTTGAATTCTGAAGTCACTTGCAGGGGAATAAGGCCTGTTGTTGTTGTCTAGGCTCGTTTTTTAGCCCAGTAGGGCATTCTTTAGCTACTGGATTGTCTTGGTAGCAGATTTGACTCAAGGATGTATGAAAGATAAAATTAGAAATTTAGCTAGTTGATTTGTGTTAAATGGTTAAAATTCAGAAGTAAAAATGTCAGTTCAACTTCACGTTTCATCTAGTTCTTGGTTAGTTGGTATTTAATTCATTTTGTACAATTATTGGTTCTAAAGTTCGTGCTTAAAGCAGGCCCAATTAATGAATATTTAATCCCCGATTCAATAGCATGTTCAGTGTCCTTGGACGTCCATTCCTCACTGAGAATTGCGCTTATTCGGGCCCAAGCCTGAAGGCATTTTGAATGGGTTCATGTAGTTGCTATTTGCTGGAGCAATTTTTCTTTAAGATTAATTAGTTTAAATACTATGCCTATCAGTTAACAAGTAAGGCCGAATTTTTTTTTTAGTTAAAAATAATTAGAATTCCATTAAGCCTTCCTCAATTAATTAGACTCCTGAAATCGGGTTTGAGGTGTGCTGTGCCAAATAAAATCTCAAAATGCACGGCCCTCATTTCATTTAATTTTAATCCTTAGAATTCGAGGCGTGCCATTTAGCAAATTTCCATGGCCCTCGCAAAGTTAACAACGCTAGTTGCTTTAGCCGCGTTATTTTAATAACATTACCTTCCTAAAATCGGGTGTGCATTTCATGTGACCCAAATCCAAATCTCAACAACGTTAAATAAAATGTGTCGTGGACCGCGGGTGTATTTCATGTGGCGTGGTTCAAAGACGCACTTTAGATAACGTTGAATCTTTCTAATTAATTAAAAGTGGTTAATAATTTAAAATTATACCATAGGCTAAAACATATTTTAAAATCAGTTAATAGGCTAACTATGATACTTTAAGCGACCGTGCTAGAACCATGGAATCCGGGGATGCCTAACACCTTCCCTCGGGTTAACAAAATTCCTTATTCAGAATTTCTGGTTCGCAGACTTCAAAAGGAAAGTCGAATTTTCCTCGATTTGGGATTTAGAAAAATAAATCGGTGACTTGGGACACCAAAAAATAAACTATCCTAAGTGGCGACTCTGAATAACATAAATAAAAAATCTCATTTCGAATAATGTCACTTAAATTGAAAAAACTCCCTTGTATACCTCTCGGGGTGTAAAAAGGAGGTGTGGCAATCGCCGCTTCGGCTTCGGCTTCGGATTCGGTCAATTGATATGATTGATTGATAATTGTTTGGACCAAATTTATTTTTCTTTTCCATCATTTAATATTTTCTTTTCTAATATTTTTTCGCGGGAAAAAATATCGCGGGCACCTTATCAACGAATAGACACCTTATCAACGAAGAGGCACCTATGCACCCGTTGGGATTCAACTTCTTTGGCTATAAATAAATTCATTTTCCACTAACGAAAAATCTGAAATTTCTCCCCTCAATCTTCTGCATTGGTTTTCAAAAGCAAAACGTAAGCATTTTTTGTATGATTTGCTCCGCCATTTGAGTTCGCCGAAGTTCTGTATTGAAGTGCCGCTATCACAGAATAATTATTCCATTCTATCATGGGAGGAATTAATCTGTAACCTTGAGCAACTTTGAGGGGATTAAATTAATTAAGGACACACAAGAAAATTGTGAGCTCGAAATTTTCCTGTTTTGTTTTCTTAAACTAACGATTTTCTAGTTTTCTGATTTTGAATACAGTGTACTAACATTTTTGCATATATATGACAAGGTTGCCATAGCTAGGAAAAGTGGAGGTTTAAAATCACTTCTCCAAGTTATTTTGGGTTTAGATACTGTGTTGTCCTTTTTTTATTTTTTTATGTTTAGCTCTGCCTTTTAATTTCCATGTTGCTATATCATTGATGGAACATGATCGATCAATTGAAAGGACTAACCATGCTATAGAACTTTCAGTTACCCCAACTAGTGGAAAGACGAGCTATATCATGAAATCTACGGAACTACTAAAACTATTGAATATAATCTGGAGTCTGGAATAACAGCACACATCCAACAAGCTAAGTCACTTGTGAAAGCAATAGAGAAAAAAGTAGATAAAGAGAAACAGTCCGTATATTGCATTCCATATTTCTGAGTTATGATTCAGTGAATGGCTGCAAATGCAACTGGAAACTTTATATGGTCAAGTGGGAAAAAGCTCAATTGTTGAAAAACTGAGGTCTGAAATTGAGACAATTCTTCAAACTATACACACTGGACTGCAGACTGCAGAGTAATGCTAACATAAGAAGAATATTTTGTATTACATATCCCTCTTGAGTACTGAGTTTCAGTTTAATAAACTGGTTTTCCTTTTACATCAGGTTTAAGTGTCTCCGAGGAGCATCTCGTATTCTGATTACATTATATGATGCTTGAACATTATAGTAACATATGATATAGCTTGCTTACAAAAACAAAAAAAATGCTATTTTCCACCAGTAATTAAACAGAATAAGCTGCTACTTTCCACCAGAAAATAGAAGATTATGTTAATATTTTAGATTAGGCCTTCCTTTTGATCGGTGGATGTTTATGTAACCTTTTATACATTGAGTTTTGGGCATGGGAATACTGGTAACAATCGGTTAGCACGAGCTGCTTTGGTATAGAACTTTGTCGGTCTTGTTATATATATTCAGTTACTCTGAAAAGCAGACACTTAAAAATCAAAAGTTCCCTCCCAAACAAAGGTTTATGTTGAGCAGATCCTTTTCTGTTTTTGAGATCCCAATTTGAAAGAATACTTTATATGGTAAAAACATTTCTCCCTGGATCCTCAATTACTTGAGACGCCAAGTCTCCGTCATAGCTTGCATTTAGGACAATGGGAAGACATAGGATTCTTGTTTCTCCTTTGGGTTCCCTTCTATAATTGATAACGTTTTCTCATCCAAATCTATCACAGCTGTGCACAGTGTGTATAGCAATGGACCTGAAATGAGGTTAGAGAGCATCATTTCACTAAAATACTAAGTATCAATATAGGAATGAATATGTGTAATATTTTTCATGAACTACCTGTCATGTAAATAGGATACTTCTTAGCATTCCTGTCCCCAACAAGTGCTAAGAAATCATTTTTTGATTCCTTTGCCAAAGAAGATGCTCTTGTTTGCCTGCTCAAGGAGTTCTCGTCTTGTGCCTTCGTTTAGGAAAAATATAGACAGAGGTTAAATTTCTATGAATCTGGTCCTGGCTGTTTGTTGCATTGTTGGAAGTAAGGTGTGGTTACCTGCTTTACTTGAAGATGCAGATACATGTTGGCATGGAAAAATGGAGTTTCTCCGACTTCATGAACTGAAATTCGATTTCTTGATGCAGTCTCAACGTTCAAAATCCTCCGAGCTCTTGTGTCTATCAAGTTATAGCTGTGCCCTACTGAAGCCTCTGACGAATGGATCCTCTGAAATCGCAAGAAAATGAACTTTGACCTAACTCAACCTTAATAGTTAACAACATAACATGGGTCTCAAGATTGGGCAAGTCAAGAATTGGAATGAGTCAGGTTGCCATATCATGTTAAGAAAATAGACTTTGGGTTTAATAACAGTCCAAGGCCATATTAGGAGACAACGGCTCATTCACTTAGCCAGTGCGGGACACTCAATAACGCGAATCAAAAGAGTAAACAAGAAAATTTAGAGCTTACAGCCAGAGCATCCTCAATGCTATTTGCTTCAAGTAGGTCTCTGGACACGAAGTTTCTGCCAATGGCACCAGCTACTATCTCTTCCTCACATGGTGGTACTGAGTTTAAAGTAAATGCCTATAATCGATAACTCACGTATAAATACAGTCCGAACTAGAATATCAATGATAATTGACAGAGAGAAAATATTAAACTCATATCAGTATATACCACTCCATGACTATTAAATCCAAAGGCACAACTTGGAAGTTCTCCAGCATATGTGTAAGCAGTGAATGATGTTCCATTAGACAATGTCACCTTAACCAAATAACTGCAATATTATAAGGAAATTAGTCGAATTCCAAAAACACCAATATATATATTCTTGCTAGTAATTTACGTGTGTCCAACAAGAGCAACATTTGCATCCTCATTATGAGCAGCCACAGCCATGGAGTTGTTAACAACAAGAATAGATGAACAGTCAGCACTAATTTCATCTTCCTTCAGATTACTTTCTGTCTTTGGAATGAAAGGCAATATCTCTTTCCTAAAGTTCAATAGTAAAATCTGCACCAACCAAAAGAAAATATAATACTATCAGTTTGTTAATTTAGTACTCCCTCAGTTCCAATTTGTTCAGCTATTTCCTTAATTATTAGTTCATTTCAAAAAGATATTCACATTTCTATATTTGAAATGTAATTTTAAACTTCCCATTACTTATATGCAGGGGCGGATGCAGAGTATGTATGGCCCCCGATTCATCTGAACCCAATACTTTCAACGTGGAGCATAAATTTATGTGTAAAAATTCATTAAACTTGCAACAAATGATAAGTCTGAACCCATAATTTCAAAAATACAATGGATTCAATGCTAAAAACCTTAAAAGTTGAGCCACATAATCTAAATCCTGGATCCGCCTCAGCTTATATGAAGTTTTTATAGTCACGCAAATTCTGTGACATGTTTAAGACCACAAATTTCAAAAGTTTTACAGTAACACAAATATTATGACATGTTTAAGAATATAAGTTTTACAAGGTTTATAATGTAAATATTATGACATGTTTAAGAGCACTAAGGAGAGAGTATCAATTGGCTATATAAGTATGAAAGTTACTTCACATTGAGAAATGGGACGCCACTTCCTTCAGCAATTCCTTTGAGTTCATTCCAGTAATTGGGAAACTTGTTCTTATTAGTTTCAGATAAAGTATGAATGAGTGGCTGGGAATTTGGGAACTGAGCAAAAGGGAGGAGCTGGTTTTGAAGAATAAGGTCATTAGATAATCTGCTGCGTATCTGTTTTGAGAATCTTTGACCTATCAAGAAGCCAATTTGGAATGCATTTTCACAAGGGCCAAATTCATGCATCTCTAACTTGTTGGTTTCCTTACTTGTGCTTCCCATGGTTAGTGTGTGTCTGTGTGTGTGACTAAGGACTAGTTTATGCTGATGGCGTCTTATCTTCAAGTCAATCATCTGTAAATAGGAATGGTTTTTCTCTAGATACCTACTTTGTTTTTCTCATATTTGAAATAAGGACCACATTCTATGCCCATGTCCAAGCATGTTTGGGGAGTACCTGAGGATGCTGCAACAAATTTGGAGGGTGTGTCGCACCCCAATCAAAACGAGGCTAATGGATGAAGGCACGAGCCATGATGCAACAAGTCATCTCATAGTTGGCCAAGCAAACAATGAGTTTTGTCACATTTATTCGGTCGGCCAAAATTAATTACAACAACTAATCAAATATACAAAAAGTACACATTAATTTCACACACACACACACACACATATATATATATATATATATATATATATATATACACACACACACACATTCGTTGGCTATTTTTATAAGGCAATGACTACACTATGTAGATTTCCCGCAAACAATGGCATGGATTGGCCGAAGGTGATGACTTGGGCATGGGCCAAGGTGAGGCCTCAAGCCACAGCCCATAGGCAGTTCGCCTAGGCACGGCCCAGTAGCAATTACTGATTGTGTGGCCCAGTAGCAAGCCAAGGCCCAACATGACTTGTGCACTTGCATGCTCCGTCAGAAGGGCTTAGACAGACCAAATGTCACTGACTTTTGGGCCCTAGAATGTCCAATAGGAACCAATAGTATGAGGGGATAAGTGCCCAAATACCATATTTTTGGGCCCTTATTTAAGTTGTAGCCAAAGTGCAAATATATTTGCAAATCTATCCACTTTTAAGACATGCGCATATGAAGTTAGTCTTGTTAAAGGCTAACATCAGACATATTTGTCTGAAGTGTGTCTAAAAAATTCAGATATATATGCATTTTGGAACAACTTCAGACATTCGCGTGTGAAGTTGCATCAATTTGTTTCTGAAGTTTCCTCTGAACCTTCCCATATTGCTTGTACAAGCAAACTTCAGACACACACGACTGAAGTAGCAAAATTATACATTTGAAATTACAAAAATTGTCTTAAGTTCGTCATATTGCTTGTGCAAGCAAACTTCAGTCCAAAGTTTAGCTTGCAGTAGGAAGTTTAGCCTAGCATTCTCAAACTTCAGACACTTTTTTATTTGAAGTTTGGCCTGAGTCCTAACCATCCCAAACTTTAGTCTATCACTCATTCCCTTCCTCTAAGACCAACGACAACAGCTAACGAAAATCCTAAAAATTAGCAGCGCTTCTTCTTCCTCAACTAGAAAAGAAGCCATATAAGTTAATAGACCTAACGATCCTAAGCTAGAAGCAAGCAACATCTAGGTCCGAAAAACACCATGGATACCACCTGACCAAGCTCAACCATCAAAACTACTGTAAGACCACTTGAACTTACCATCAAAGCAAACCACAATACAGTAAATGGAGAAGAAAAGTACTGTTGTGAGGTCCTAAGAATATGACGATGAATTCGGTGTGTACGGAAGAAGGCGATAGCTAGGTTGTGTCTGGTGTGAAAATGGAGAGCAAAAATTATGGTGGTGCTCCGTTGTGCTGCGATGTTACTGGACTTGGCGGAAGATGGCAAAAGTTTGGTTTAGCCTGATGTTGTTAAAAATTGGGTATATGTTAAATTATTTTGAAAAATTGGGCACAAGTTAAATAGCGGTATCCAAAATTCAAATAGAGCACCCAGTGAAATTTTCCATAAATATGGAGCAATGCGTCACCAAGAAACCAGGTCTCAAACCATCCACATCGAAACAATTCTCAAAAAGCCATCCATAGTGTTGTTTAGCCAAGCAAAACACCACCAACACTTCCTAAACTAATTAATTGAGGGACACCATTCTGCGGATGAACTTAACATCCACCAAGGAAGAAGTACAGGACTAGATCGATGAAAATTGTCTAATAGTGTGATATAATATGGAAAAAGGAAGTTTTTTTTAATTAAAATTAAATACCAGCACTGTTTTGGAGGTTCAGAGTTTGTGTTAACAAATGCTGGCTCAGGTATTGCTTGCAGTTCTGATAAGAAATGTCATGCCCACAAATCACAGCAAAACTATAATGCATTTCATTGGATTCAAAAATGTTTTAAAAGGAAAATATTTAACTTCTCTACGGTTATAAATGTTTGTATTCTGTATTCAAAACCAGAAAATTATAAAACACAGAAAATTCCGAGCCCACAAGTTTATTGTGTGTTCTTAAGGAATTTAATCCCTTTATAGTTGCTCAAGGTTTCAGATTAATTCCTCCCAGCATAGAACAGAATAAATATTCTGTGATAGCGACACTTCAAATCATAGAACATCGGCAAACTCAAATGGCGGAACAAATAACACAAAATGCTTATGTTTTGCTTTGATAATCAATGCAGAAGAGAGAGGGGAGAGAATTTTAGATTCGGTGGTGAAAAATGAGGTTGAACATCTCTATTTATAGCCAACAAAGTTAAATCCCAACAGGTGTAAAGGTGCCTGTTTGTTTTCGACAGAAATTAATCGAATATATGTTAAGTGGAATGTCTGGTCTCAAATTTGACCGTTGGAAAATAATGCTGCATTGGTCTAAAAAATTATGGATCAATCCGAAGACAAAGCCGAAGCTGAGCCGAGCGAGCGCGATGATGGCCCGAGGCTTTCTTTCTTCTCAACTCTTTAAGAGCTAGAACAAGTGCTTCCATATATAAGCACAAAAATTTTCCTCTTCCTATCCAATGAGGGACAAAGTTCCTTTGTAAAAGGGACTTATCCAAAATTTCATTTCCCTGCATTTCATTTTTCATCAATTTTTATTCACATCTCTTTGTTTTAATTAACAAAACCCAACAATCCCCCACATGAATGAGAAATGGCTATCTGAAAAATTATGCATGAAAAAACCGTGTGATTCACAAGTAAGGATTAATCGCATCTGGATAAGTAGATTTTCCTTTGAACATTTCGTACTGAACATATATCGTATATACTCGATCAATCGGTAGATTTGATATCTTTGAACTGTCGAACTTTGGTGTATACCTAGACAACTATACGTCATGCAATCAACCTTTAATCGTCTTTGGTTCTCATTGTTGTGTTCGTTTCAGCCATGAACACCGCCTGGTTTCATAAGTGCGTAGAGAACTGGCCTTATAAAATTCTCCTTAAAGTGGCTTATACTTCACACTTACGTAGGTGATTCCTAAACGTGTTATCCTGTAGATATACTATTTGATATACCCAATATCAAACTTAGAAACCATTAAAAAGCCTTAACGCGTTATCCTTGGTACTGAACATTGTCTTCATCATGAGAATGAACCAAAATTTTATTTGACAATGTTAAACTGTCACTAGTGACTTTGTTTGATCTCCTTGAACCTAGATCTTAGGATTTCCAGTATTCTAGGTAGAGTTACCACCACATTGACTTGTCCTCGGCCATAGTCCCATTCTCTTTGATGACTTCTCAACCGCATCTCTAGGTAGGCCTTTTGTAAGAGAATCTGATACATTATCTTTTGACTTTACATAGTCAATTGTGATAATTCCACTAGAGAGTAGTTGTCTAATAGTATTATGTCTTCGTCGTATTTAACGAGATTTTCCGTTATACATAATGCTCCCAGCCCTTCCTATTGCCACTTGACTATCGCAATGTATGCATATAGGTGCCAAAGGTTTGGGCCAAAATATAAAATCTTCCAAAAAATTCTGGAGACATTCAACTTCTTCACCGACCTTGTCTAAAGCTATAAACTCAGGCTCCATTGTATAGCAAGTGATGCATATCTGTTTGGAAGACTTCCAAGACACTGCTCATCCACCAATGATAAAAACGTATTCACTCGTGGATTTTGATTATGTTGATCCGGTGATCCAATTTACATCACTATATCCCTTAATAACTGCGAGATAATTATTATAATGCAATGCATAGTCTTGGGTATATTTCAAATACCAAAAACTTGTTTCATTGCTATCCAATGAGCTTGGTCGGGATTATTTGTATATCAACTAATCTTACTTATCGCACAAGCTATATCAGGTCGTGTACAATTCATAATGTGCATCAAGCTTACTTGCTTTGACCTTTATTCTTTATAAGAGTATGGTTTAAATCAATTGGCATTCTTGCAACTTTAAAGTCGAAATATTTGAACTTTTTAAGTACCATTTTAATATAATTAGATTGAGACAAAGCTAGACTTTGAGGTGTCGTAAGGATCTTAATTCCCAAAATTAAATCGGCAACTACTAAGTCTTTCATACCAAACTTACTAGTAAGCATGCGCTTAGTAACATTTATGTTAGCAATGTCGTTACTCTTTATCAATATATCATCCACATATAAACAAACAATGACTATTTGATTTGGAGTATTCTTAATGTAAACACATTTGTCACACTCATTGATCTTGAAATCATTTGACAATATTGTTTGGTCAAATTTCACATGCCATTGTTTTGGTGCTTGTTTTAGTCCGTAAAGTGACTTAACAAGTCGACACACCTTCTTTTCTTTTCCATGAACTACGAACACTTCAGGTTATTCCATATAAATTTTTTCCTCTAAATCTCCATTTAAGAAGGATATCTTCACATCCATCTGAAGGATTTGAAGGCCATACATGGCGGCTAACTCTATTAACACCCAGATAAATGTAATCCTCGTTACCAGTGAGTATGTGTCAAAGTAATCAAGACCTTCTCGCTGTCTAAACCCTTTAACAACTAATCTTGTCTTATATTTATCAATAGTACCATCGACTTTTATTTTCCTTTTAAAAATCTATTTAGAACCCAAAGGTTTATTTCCTGGAGGAAGATCAACCAATTCCCATGTATGATTACTTAATATGGATTCTATCTCACTATTGACTGCCTCTTTCCAATATTGTGCTTTCGAGGAAGACATCGCTTCTTTGAATGTTTGAGGCTCATTTTCCAACAACAATGCGAGAAAATCTGGTCCAAAAGAAGTAGTTGTCCTTTGACGTTTACTACGTCTTGGTTTTTCCTTGTTAAAAGTACTTTCCTTTGCTTCTTCTCTAGTTCACTTAGATTTTTTTATTAGACGACTCACATTCCTTTTTATACGGATAAATATTCTCAAAGAATTCAGCATTATCCAATTTGATTACCGTATTAATATGTATGTCGGGATTTTCTGATTTATGAAACGATATGCCTTACTATTTATTGCATATCTTATGAAAACACAATCAACGATTTTTGGTCCAATCTTTACCCTTTTGGATTTAGGGACTTGCACTTTAGCCAA